GAAGTTCAGACTTGCCACTTATTCTGCACAACCTTTGGCAAGTTACTTAATCTATTTCCTCAGTTGTAAAATACGGACAATACTCTTACATCAATCCTCACTACTATTTATTCCTTTATTTTCTACCGCCTGTATAATTGTAGAGCGTCAATCTTCACTATTAGGATAATTATATATTTATATCTACAATAGCATTACTATTATTTAATGAGCATCTACAATGTGCCAGGCACTGTGTTAAGACTTAACAAATTATGCAACATCTGGTATGGGGCAGGCACTCAACTGGTAGCTATTAAGAATCATATCTTTATTCTAAGTATTTCATGTTATATATACAAAAATAATGATTTCAAGTAAATATTTCATGCCCTATTTATCCCAAATGACTGGCAAGCTTATATAACATGTATCTCCTCTGATTTAGGACACAATAAATGGTGCTTCCACCATAGGAAATACCAGCTAAATTCATAATTAGAAGGTCCCTCAATGGTACTATTTAGGGCAGGCACCGTGGCTCATGGATGTAATCCAAACAGTTTGGGAGGCCAAGACATAAGGATCCATTCAGTCCAAGAGTTTGAGACCAGCCTGGGCAACAGAGCAAGACTCTGTTTCAATTATTTTAAATTAAAAAATAAATAAATAGAAGTTAAGTGATCAGCAAGGACAAACAGTAATCAAGGAACTGGGAATAAAACCAGGTTTGTATGGTTCTAGAGACCACACTCCATTAATAAATGACCAGGCTAGCTCTAATTAGCTTTTTTATTAACATGATTTATGTCTCTTGTTTTTTCGTCCGAGATAAATTATGCAATTGCATTTTCTGTAGATAAAAGATAGAATAATTTAAAAATAACTACTTACAAACAGGTATTCTACTTTCTTGCAACAAATAATTAGTTCTCAAAAAGTGTCATTAAAATGAGATTTTTTTTTTTTTTTTTTTGAGATGCAGTCTTGCTCTGTGTCCCAGGCTGAAGTGAAGCGGCGCAATCTCGGCTCACTGCAACCTCCACCACCCGGGTTCCAGCGGTTCTCCTGCCTCAGCCTCCTGAGTCGCTGGGATTACAAGCATGTGCCATGCCCAGCTAATTTTTGTATTTTTCGTAGAGACGGGGTTTCACCATGTTGGTCAGGCTGATCTTGAACTCCTGACCACCCATGATCCACTTGCCTTGGCGTTCCAAACTGCTGGGATTACAGGCATGAGCCACGGCGCCCAGCCTAAAATGAGATTTCTATCTCGTTTTTCAAACTCTATGTGAGTTTGAAAATTCATCTACTTTCTTACAACACACGAAGCTTTTTCCTGGAGCACAAAGCACAGAGGAGAGCCAATAGAAATCAGTGAAAATATGTGTTTTTTTTTTCTGTTTTTTTTTTTTTTTTTTTTGGGTTTTTTGTGTGAGGCGCCCCAGCCGGGAGTTCACCTCTTGTTGCCCAGGCTGGAGTGCAAGTGGCGCAGGCTCACGCAACCTTCTGCCCTCCCGGGTTCAGGCGCTGGTCCCCTGGTTTGCCTCAGCCGCTCCTGAGCAGCTGGTGATACAAAGGATGTCCGCCACCATGCCCAGTAATTGTTTTTTTGGTATTCTTCGGAGTAGAGATGGGTTTCACCCATGTTAGCCCCAACCGAGGCTTATTTTCTAGCGGTTTGAACTCCTGACATTCAGGTGATCCACCTGCTCAGCCTCCCAAACTGCTGGGATTACAGGATGACGCCATGCAATAGTGGTCGTGAAGGTGTGAATCAGCGTTCCAGCCTTTTTTTATTTTTATTTTTTTTTTTTTTTTTTTTTTTTTTTTTTTTTTGTTGATGATCTAGTAGGGTCCTTCTATGTCACGGGGAACTGGAGTAGTCGGACTGGCGCATTTTGGTCTCGACTGTAACTCTTCCGGCGCCTGCCCAGGCTCAGAGCAAAGTTCGACCTAACACCACCTCGTAAGATTGCCAAGGTAGCGGGGGACTACAGATGCTCGCTCCACGCCTGTAGGGCTAGTTTTTTCTTTTTCTTTTTTTTTTTTTTTTCCTTTTCAGAGACGAGGTCTTTTTTTTTTTTTTTTTTTTTTTTGAGACGGAGTCTCGCTCTGGTCCCGCGCCAGGCTGGAGTGCAGTGGGCCAGATCTCAGCTCACTGCTAGAGGCTCCGGAACCTCCCGGTTCACGCCATTCTCCGTGACCTCAGCCTCGCCGAGTAGTGTGGGAACTACAGGCGGCCGCCACCGCCGAGTAACCGGCTTAGGTTTTCGTATTTTGTTAGTAGAACGGGGTTTCCC